ATGAGAGTCTATCATCCCTGGGAGTAAGATACTCTATATGGTGAAGGCAAAGGGAGTGGACAGATGTAATGGAGGTGTCCAATCAGTTGGTCTTGAGTTAATCTAATGGATATTAACCTGGGTAGGGAAAACCTAGCAAGTGGGCTCTGGAGGAGGGTTTGGTGGTCAGGGGTGTCCTGCTGCACCTGTAGAGCCCTTTCACTGTGGCCTAGGAACAACTTCCAGAGGATAAGAGACAATCCATGGCTGACAGCAAGAAAACAAGACCTCAGTATCAAAACTCAAGGAACTGAATCTTTCAACAGCTTGGGAAGACTTCTAAGGAGAGCCCAAGTATGAGAGAGCAGCTTGGTCTCAGCCTAGTTCACCATGAGCAATCAACTCAGCTCATGATCCACAAGGGCTATGGGCTAATAAATGTGTTATTATTAGTATTCATAAGAAAGTGAATACCACAGGGAAGGAATGCATTGGCTTTTCTGAGGTGGGGAGTAGGGGTATGTTGGTTTATGATAGACTAGACCCCAAGTCTGCCACCCCAGTGACTTCTGTTCTGCAGAGACTTCACTCCTGAAACTTGTGAGAAGCATAATAAGAAATAAAATAATATTACCCAGTGCAAGTGCTTAAGAACTTGAGCAGCAAGCTCTTTATAAATATTAGATCAAAAAGACATGAGCAGCTTTTACCATTATACAGGATAATAGAATTTGATCAGCTAAATCCCAGGGCTTTATAAAGCACAAATTATGTAAACAAACTTAATGGCTTTCTGATAAAACTGCAAAACCATTGCTGGGAAGAATGCAAGAGGTGTTCTTTATTTGGACTTTCAACTTCACTTGCTAAAGCACAGTTGCTTATTCAAATTTTAAGGAAATTAAACATGAATGCAAAGAGTTATAGAGGACAAAAATTAGAGGATAGACTATTAAGAAAAGCATTATTTTTAGTTTAGGGATAGGCAATAAGGTTCTAAGGAAGTGGCTTTATGTATTATTGTTATTATTCACTGGGTGGGAAGAATTAAATGAAGGTTGAAATACAAAAGCTCAAGGTTTCTATGGAGAGAATGTTGGTAGATATCTGAAGAAAATAGAAATACGAAATTAAAATATTAGAAAGCAATGTACAATTAAAAGAGGAAAATGCTAGAAATTTGAGGTAGTATAATTCTTAAAAATTATGGTAACAAATTTTCAAAGACAAGATAGGAGTGGAGAAGGAAATCTAGGATAACTACGACTGCATTTTATGATGTATCTTAACAGGAAACCAGGCTTTGACTTTCACAGAATGATGAATTTTGTACAAATGATTAAGTGAAAAATTTATCCATTTTTCTTTTCAACTCCAGCTGTGCAGAACTCAAATTTCTCTGTCACTTAGAGAATCCATGTTTTCCAAGAAACGTAGCTCAATCTATGGTTCCCCCCGTAGGTCTACATGAGCTCCTTAGATAGCTCATCATGCGCTCCTTGGATAGCTATGACCATGGCAAATTTCCTGCATCCTAGTTGCTACAATTTGCCATACGTCCGGTATCTCACTGCATCCACAAAATACTTTTGCATTGATTCACTGTCGCTCTACATCCTCTAAGACTTTTTAATCATTCTTCTGGACCCCAGCAGTCATTATAACAGCCTCACAGGTGACACATTTGTCCCAAATGATTTCAGATACTGTTCCTTCACCACTCTCAGTATTTCCTCACCAGGAGCCGAATCTCTAGTTATGGTATAAAAGTTCATCCCTAAGATGTCGTTTCTTTGTTAACCTCATGCCCCAATGATATTCTTGATCCTCATATATGCATAGACTAACAATGAACCCACTTCTATCTCTAACCCAAATGGGCTTTTGGGGCTTACCCAACTGCAAAGTCCGCTTCTCAATTTAGATGACACACAGCACTTGACATTTAACTAGGTCAAAACTGAATGCTTTACCTTCCTCTAAATCTGTTTTCCTCTTCCTTTTCCACATCTCCTTAATGGGGCTGCAGGTCACCATGTTATTTGATCCATAAATTTAGGATTTGTGATGGATAACTCTCTGTTGCTAACCATTCTTATTCAGTCTTTTGCCAATCCTTCCAATTCCACTTTTAAAATAGGTCTAAAGTCTATGTCCTTCTCATCACTCAAACTGACACCATACTGGTCCACAGGAGGCTCCTCTCTTCTTTCTGTTTTTACAATAACTTCAAAAATGGTCCCCAGACTTCTATCTGCCTCTCATAACACATTGAGTGTCCATTTTAAATGCATGCAAAGTCTTCTCATTCTGCTCAAAATGTCTTACTGGATTCCTACCTACTGTGATTGAAAAATAGCTGAAACAATAGAAACTAAACTTCTATTTTCTGCCCTCCAACCGTTACTGCTGGTGGACTATCACCCTGGGTATCTCCCCACTTCACAAGAGCCCCACTCTTGGGCTCTCTGTGCTCCAGCCATATATTGAGGCTTTAACTTATGAGGCTCCTTTCTCTTCTGTTTTTTTGAGCGTCATTTCTCCTTTTTTCCTTTAAATTTTGAGTGCACATATAATTTCTCATGACAGTAATATTTCACAAATTTATAGATGTCCATCATGATGGTGCATGTTTGGAAACCTAGCACTCTAGGAGGCTGAGACAGAAGGACCATGATTTGTAACTCAGCCTGGGCAACAATTTAATAGCTTAAGCATGAACAAGAGGCCTAGGAAAGAAGTTCAGTGTAAAGACTGTGGGTTTAATCTCCACTACTGAAAAAGTATTATAGAACATTTTAGGCTGTTATTCTCTTCTTTATTACAAATCTCTTGTCTCAAGACAAGGTTAGTAGTATCATACTCTGTTGATGATTGTAAGTGCATATTCTTCCCAGAGGAAGGAAAAGAGTAGCAAAGGGCTAAACAATCCCTGCTAATCAACAGGCAAGAGTTTTCAAGGGTCCTTGTACACAATGACGCTTATACCTATTTGAATGGATAGAATGAAAATCTTCTAACTGTGCAAGGTTGTAATCCTTCTTGTTCAGATTCACCTGGAGCATAGGGCAACACTATGGACATGATCTGTGAGGAAGATAGTGACACAGATGCTTCTATGTTACTGAGCGAGGTGTCCCATTCCAAAAAGATAAGCTCTTTCAAAAGTACACCAGCTCATCATTGTGTGTGTCCTTGATATAAGGAGTGAAAATATCACAGTTTTGTTTTACTTATTTTCCCTTGGGATCAATGTGGGAAAACCACTAAATTGTTGACTGTCCAGCCCCAATCAACATTTCCTAATTTCCCTTGAGCCTACTAGTTGACTTTAAGGAAGATATAAATTTATGTATATTAGGAGATGCCAAGGTCAGGATTCTTATAAATTAAACCAAATTTTGGTAGATTATACTTCAGGTCTAGTAAGATTAAAATGATAATAAACAAAAAAGGGTTTGGTATATTGACAAGTGCATCTATCTGAGTACTCTTGGGCCAAATCTCTGGGATGTGGATTCCTTCTCTGGTGCACATTTGGACTTGCTGTCGTGGATGTAAAGTGTAGGGATTCTGGCTCCCAGGCTACCATCATCTCTGCATGTTGTATACATGCTTCTCATATCCTTGTCCTTGTTCCTTCCACTCTGTAGCATGCCCAGCTTCCTGGTTATGCTGAGGGCTGTCAGCCAGTTTGCTTGTCCACCACACTGCTTAGCATCTCAGACTGTAGTTGAACAGTCTTATTTGTACTCGAGAACTACTGAACTAAATTCTCTAGAGGTGGAAACAAGAAGTTCATATAAAAAGGGAACAATAAAACAAAACTTGAAAAATCATTACAAAGCACAGCCAGATTTAAGAAGTACTGGTTGCAGAGAGATTTCAAGTGGAACCCTTCCTGAATGGTATGGGCCAAGTGACTTAACTCTTGACACCTTTGGAAATTAATAATAATGATGGTGATAACAATAATATTTTTCTCTTAAGGAATCTTTTGCTGCATGTTGGCCAATATGCTAAGATTCACCTGTGCTTATTTTGTTCAAACAACAATGCTATGAGATAGGTGTTATTTCTAATCTATTTTAAAGTTAAAGGTACTGAGGTTTATTGGGTTAACTAAGGCAACCAAGATTACACACTTAGAGACTAAGGGAGCTGGGATACAAACCCACGTATCTGCATAAAGCACTGGCGATACCTGACAAATGGGAAACAGTCACATGTGGCAGTCATTATCAGTAGCATCATATTATCACGTTCCTCAGCATCATTTGCCTCAGGACTTCACTTTGAGTGCTGGTTTTGTCTTGAAAATAGTGCATGTCTCAGACCCTTTCCTGGAGCTTTGGAGAGGAAGATGTACCATCTGTCTGATGGAAAATTTGCCCTGAACTTGTAGATATGCACAATCTATCTACTTCTGTTAGAGTTTATAAGAACCTACAATTTCATTTTGTATCCCTGAAATTTAATATGGAATTGAAAAACAAAACCAAGGCTCTCTCTTCAAAATTTTTCATGAACATTTCAGATAATCTTTGCTACTGCAAAAAGGGATTTCAGTATACAAGTAGGCTCTTTCTGTGACCATGGGATAGAGAGGAGAATCTGGAGTAGTCTAGAAGCTTCCCCTAGCATGGGCAGGGAAAATACCTGAGCAGCAAAACAAATCTCCCCATCTAGGCTGTTAGAGGTGGGTTGCTTCATTCTTCTTGTGGACTTCAACTTTGCAATTTCAGTGCCTTGACTCTTTCCCTTAAATATGAATTCTTTTAAGTGTTAATGACTAATTGTTCAAGTGAAAGACTTCTAAGACAATGCAGTGTCTGACAACTGTGATTTTCCTTGCTTTAGAAATCTGCTTCATCATTTTTGTTTAAAAAAACCCCAACAACACACAACTTATTAGGTGTTGTGATAAGAATCCTGCACCGAAGAAATAAGCCACCCATGGAACCATTTATTCCACACATCTAGAAGGCCATCTTCATAACACGTAAATATGACATAGTTACCTGTCATGTTGCAGTAAACTTTCAGAGGCCCCAGCGGTCCACTGCCATCAGGATCTATCCAGTAGTAATTAGATGTCTGGCCCAGGTGTTTGTATGCTTCACAGGAGGGCTCGTAGATGGCTGGAAAGAAATATCCTGTGTGAGCGCAGCAGGAAACCGATAGCTCCCCAGACCAGCACCCCAGGAACACAGCCAGCCCACAAGCCACTGCCACTGGTACCTCCTCCTGTTTGAGTGAACATTCTTTTTCTCTAAATTTAAGTTCATGGGTTAGGTTTTTTTTTTTTTTTTTTCTTGTTTTAAATAGGGCTTTCTGACCTAGATAGAAAGTTCCAGATATGGCTTTATAGTTGAGAACAGAACTAAAGCAATGGATAAATTGTAAAACAAATATAATGCATATCTAATCGATGCTCATGATCATTAAAGCATACTTAATTTATACCTATTGATAGCTATCATCTCCTTAATATGAGGGACTTTATTTTGAAAGATCATAAATACTGGCTGCTTTGGTAGGGTCTCAGGAGATGGGAGAAAAATCTTCTCCTCTCTCTCTCTCTCTCTCTGTCACAGATAGACAGACAGACATGCACATACACACACACACACACACACACACACACACACACACACACACACAATGTTGACATAAATTTCCACAAGTAATATGTGCTTTCTAATCTTCTATTATCTCAGGGAAAAAAGTGAGGAAGGAAATTTTCCTGATTCATTTTATTTGTTACAGGTACTTTAATTATATCCAATCTTGTTGAAAAAGCAAACATTCATGTAATTAAATTATAGGTTCTTTTTCATTACTTGCCTTTTTGTTTCTATGCCTGTAACAAATTTTCCTACTGAAACTGCACCTGTTTTCAGAAGTACAAAATGAAGATTTACATATCTCCTTTGTAATAGGACTGTCTAAAATACTACTGCAAATTCTCCTTTTCCCACTGCTCTGCACTGATATTTATGAAGAATAGGAAAGATCCCTTCACAGAATGTGTAACCATTTCTGGTGAAATTCTATCTACCTGACCCATGTGTAATGGAGCCTTTTCCTAAAGTACACTTGAGTCATATACTTGGAATCTGCTGTGTTTTAAATTATGAAACAGGAAGTCCAGTTTGAGACCTTTTCCATTTCTTTTAACTTTTCCTCTATCAAGTTCTCTCTGCCTCCCTTTAGCTTTCTGTGGCTTTCTCTCTTCAAGGATGTTAAACCTTTAAATCTATTTCATTTTCACAACAATAAAACACACTAGACTAATACATTTGTCAAATTCTTTGATTTATGCCTTTGGCTTGCACTCTCTTCCTTCTGCAAACAGTTCTCAGTGCTTACAATGAGTTGCACAGATCAAGCTCTGCAAATCTAGCTGTGTAGAACCCAGTTACATGACCTTTGGGGCAGGGTTTGTTCACTGTTTAGATGTTTCTTACTCATGAAGAGCTACTGGGAGAGAATGTGGTTAGAAGGGTAAGCAGAGCCCATCCCTATTTTGTACCTTTATAATAATCAGTAGGTCCACTTTTAATCTCTTAGGTGTCTAATTTAGATAATAAGCTATGTTTGTTCTGATCTTGAACACCGTACCATGTAAACTCTTACATACCATAATAGGATATAGGCTTTAGAAAAAAAAAATCCACGCAGTGAAACAATAGATTTTAGGCATGGTAAAGAAAGCACTGGGCTGTTACCACCATTGCCAGTTGGAAGATGACTAACATTTGATCCAAAACAACATGACAAACTGTAAAGTAGGTGGGACTTTCCTTCTTCCTTTCAGGGGGAGGGGATGAATATACATATATATACACAAGATAGCTAAGATAATTTTACTACTGGTTTCTGTTGATTTATTGAAAGGAACAGTTAATGCTTAATTTTTTTCTTAATTTTTTTTTTTTTTTTTTTTTACCAATTTTGCATGCCTATATCTGGTAATCTGAACAATTGCTTTGAAGAAAACAATGTGCAATAGAACAACCATTGTTGGTTTCCTATCAGCTTGTTTTACAATTCTGTATCATTTTAAAGGTTTTTTTTAAAAAATTTTTATTCTCTTTAAAATAAATATACCTGGGACTGACTCGAATGGTTTTAAGATCAACAGCACATGCAGTCCAACTAGATTTAAGTGGTGAGGGACACAGAACAGTTAAGAATGACCTAAACTCATAATCTCTGAAAATTACCTGCCCTATTAATTAGTTACTGACAGCCTACTTCAAGCTATTAACATTTTTATGTATAGTTCAAAATAATTCAACAAGTCAGGCTTCTAAAGTCTTCCTCTTCCTTTAAAGTCTTTATGGCCAATCTGCCAGTATAACCTTTCACCTTTTATTTGTAGTAGTTAATAATTAATGATTCTCTTCTCCTTCTGCCAAGTCCTTGCTCTTATTATTTGATTTTCAATAGTCACTATGTTAATGGATCATTCTAGACAGCTAGCTCTTCACTTCTCACCAAAGTATGCTTTTTAATTTATGTTGGTGTTGTCTTAAAGTACCACTGGCACCGTGTTCAGAATTGTGCAGTGTTTCTTCAACATTTATAATGCAATGTCACAGATCACTACCTATGAATACAGAAATTTTCACAATCCTGATAGGGCTTTCTTGGCTTTAGGATGCTGCCAGCATCGATGCTATGCCCTGCTCCACCATATCTTCCCCAGAACCACTCATATAGGTCATACTCATCCCTCCTGGGTTGCCTTATCTTTCACCTCCTCTTTCTCAGGCTACACAACTTTGCAATCAGAGTCATTGATTGAGGAGATGTGATAAGAAACAGGGCTCTGCAGTCAAACTGAGTTGGGTCAGAATTCGAACTCCACAACGTACTACTTATATACCACATGGGCAAAAGAGCAGAATCTCCTTTGGCCTTATCTGGAAAGTAAGTATAATCAGCATATTATAGTGGACCATTGCCCACCATATGAGGATAAGCAGGACTCTATTATGACAACTCGACAAAATAACCCACATTGATTGCTTACCATAGTGCCTGGCCCAAGGCAAACTTTTAATAGATGGCATTTTATTCTCAGTCTATGACTTAAATTCCTCCTCTTTTTTGTGCTCTGATGAAATCCATGGCCTTCACATTGAGCTATATCCTCAACATCCTCCTTGCCCCAGTTTTTGTTTTCATACTTTATTCTGAGGCAGAGTTTGCCAAGTCGCTAAGTGTCCTGAGCTGGGCTTAAACCTATGATTCTCCTGCCTCAGCCTCTCAGAATGCAGGAACTACAGGAAATCTCTCCTTTTTAAGCATAACTAATATGTCTGTCTTGTTGTACAGTCCAGAATCATTGTTGATTATCTCTTGTACTCTAATACTTGATTATTGCTGATTTAGAATTTGGTTGGCTGTCGTTCACTGAATTTAATGGTTGAAAATTTTGTTTCCTAATAGGACTATGAATCATCATGAGGATGATGTCTATAAAATATTTTTCTATTTTACTCCATAGGAGCTAACAGAGTAGATGTTTAGGAAAAGATATTCAAACTAAATTTAAAGTTCTTCTATTCGTTGGCCTATTCTGATTTTAACAAAGGCCTACTAGTTGGCTAACCCAGAAGAAGCAGATGCATTTTCAAGACTGACTGAATGATAACAAGTCTAGGTGACTGTTACTGTATATCTAGGTAAATGTGTGGACATTTAAGACCCTCATTCAAGGAGTTAGTTGGTAGGACTTGTTAGAGGCATGCGGGTGTGGGAAATTTTGGTAATCAAGAATCTCTACTTTTTTCCTTCCAATTAGAACAATCATTCTGCTTGTCTTTAGCCTACAACAAGTATACTGCTCTTGCTTGATGAACACTCATAGACAGCAAGATACTTGAGTGCAAACTTTCGCGTGTGTGAGAATCACCTGGAGAGCTTGTTAAAGCGAGAATCCCTGGGCTCATTCCCTTCCAAGAGAGTGACTCTGTAGGGAATTTGCAACCATAATAGGCTCCTGTTGCTAGTGCTGCCGATGTTCAGGCTACATTTTGAAAAACATGGTTCTAACCCTGAAAAAAAGCATAAACTCAACAAGGGTCGACTTGTTTTTTATTTATATTTAAATATCCAGGGGGAGAAAAGGTTACTCAAGGGCAACACAATAAAATTTCAAATATGGTCAGGTTAGAATGCCACTTTGTTTCACTGCAAATCATAGAAACAGAAGCAGATACAAAACTCTAAATAGACAATACAGGGTTAAAATGCATATACTTGTAGAAATACATAGGAAAATGTTTGGAAGGAAATACATCAAAATAGTCACACTGGTTATTTCTGAGCAGCACAAGTATGGGTGATTTAAAACTTTTCACACTTCTCTGCATTTTCTATATCACTTTATAATGTGAACTTGGTTTTTTCTATCATTAAAATATACTTTAAAAAATATGGATCTGCATTCATAACACTGATATAAAGTGGCAAAACCAGCTGTGATCTAGTAATATTGCATTAGTTTCATATTCATAATAAGGGATTAAGATATTTTAGTTCAGTTCTCCTTTCTATCATTTACTACCTGGAAACTCTCCTAAACCTTTCATTTCCTTTACTGTATAACTAAAGAAATAACATCTCCTCTCCAAAGCATTGTGAATATTAAATGAAATTATGGTCTTTTTAAACTAAAATGTATTGCATATATTTGAATGATTATGCTAAGAATGAGCTAATGCAAGCCTTTCCCCCATTTTTAGTGTGTATTGGTTATACAGATCAACAGTTTCATTTGGGCAGGATTGTGACTGCACATAATATACTTTAATCATTCTCTTGGTACCCCCTGGCCCCACCTTCCATCCTGGCTTTATATCATTTGGGGAGGATTTTAATGTGTGCAACATGTATTTTGATCATATTTATCTCCTCTCCTACCTGCCCTTACAACCTATTCCTTCTCTTCCTTCTCTCTCTATTCTCTTCCTCTGATTTAAAAGTTGTCTTCCTTCTACTTTTCTGCCATCATTTTTGTTTCTATTTTGATTCCACATGTTGAGGAATACGCCATATCTGTCTTTCTGAGGTTGGGTGATTTCTGACAACACAATGCAAATATTGACCCGGTAAGTCTCAGGCAGTT